GCTCAACGAGGTTCTTCTTGTACGTAGTCCATTTCCCATCCTTCGGTCGAGCTTCCTTAACTTCCCTTCCAAGACTTGGGTCCACATTAAATAGGAAGTTCTCTATAATCTCTTCCTCCGACCACTGACTCCGGCTGGCGTGAAGCTCCCACTTCTCCAGATATTCTGTGATACCATAACCCCTGAAGGTAGGAGGCTCTGAGGCCTTGTGCGTAATAATATAGCGATGCTTGCTCCCGTAAGGGAGCAGATGTGACTCCCCTGTCTGGGGGTCGAAGACCCGCCTGGGCGGCGCCCTGTCTCTATCTCTGTCCCTCCAACAGGAATCCCTCAAACTCTCTCTCCAGTCGTCTCTGTGCCTTTCCGCTATGGGGTCCCTCCGCTCGTACTCGGGGGAGCGTCGTCTCGTCGTTTCTCGTCGTCCGCTTGAGGTACCCGTCCTTAGAGCCTCCTGCGGCTCTGTTGCAACTGGTTCGCCTCTTACGTCAGGTCCTCCGTCATTGGTTTGGTCAGCCCATCTCAGCGGTGCTTCTTGCCTAATTCGTTCCTTCAGATCCCTCAGTGCTCGTTCGGGCGATGCCCTGTACTCCTCTCCCGCTTCGCCCGTGGTCGGTTGTGGCCCCATCATGTCGGGTTCCATTGGACCGTCAGAAGATGCAGTTAGGTATTCTAGCCAACTGTTACAGCCCGACCCTATGACAGCCGCTGCAGCCCGGACCTGTTCCTTTGTCACGACTCACGTCCGCCTCCAATCTTAGCCCTCGACTGCCTTGATTACCACCTCCAGTATCCCGTTCCGGTCGCAGATCTCGTGTTCTCCCTCTATCCCAAGAATCCCTGTGTCTAAGTAACCTCTCCTTCGGGATCGGTCAACAAGGCCGTGCCTGTCCGGATTCACAGTGTGCCCGTGACAGGACCTCTATCCTTGAGACGGATTTCAATCCCAAACCTAGCCAATGTTTCCTGATCAACACTTCTTAAGAGTCCCTGAGCTTCTCTCTCCGTCCTCCTTGCGAGTTCTTCTAGCCCTGTCTGAACCAGTTAGCCCGCTAAAGGCCCTCATACTGCCATCCAAAGTCGCCCATCGACCTCTCTAGCTTCCTCTATCCTTCCAAGAGCTTCCAATTTCTATTTCCACTACCTTATCTCCTCAACGGCTACGAGGTCATCTGTCTAACAGTTGAGGTAAGTTAGTGCTATAACCACTTGTAACTTCCTCGCCGACCGCTCCAAGATGTCATTAAATGTCTCAAAGTCCTCACTATCTCCTCCTTCGTCTATCGGCTCTAAAGTCTTCATCGTTTCCTTCCAGTACCGGTTGTGAGCGGCTAACACCCTGAGTATTGCACCATCTATTACAACTCTCCCTAACTCTCCAGCTTTCCTAGCTTCGGTTATCTTCAACCTCTCAGCCTCTCTAGTAGTCTCGTACCATGCCCTTATCCTAGTCTGCCCTTCAAAAGGTGTCTCTTGGAGCACATATTTAATCCTTCGTCCTTCTTCTATCCCAATCCAAAGTCCTGTCCCCCTTGCCTCACGCAGGGCACGGCGGACACACTCTGCCTCCTCAACTATGCACAGTCTGGTATGGAGTTGGAGCTCTACGATCACTAACACCAATGGTCCGTCCAATCTCCCTACCACATGCAATGAGTACCGATCTGTCGTGTGCACTGCTGTCCCGCTCATGTCCTATCCCTACTTCCCTGCGTTACTTTGTCTTCCGTTGTCTCGCTCTCTGCAGATCGCTCGCTAGTTTCTTCGCGTGATACGCTTCTAGCCTTTATCCTCTCCAGAAAGTCTGATCTCTACGCCTGGATAATCTCTCTTTCTTCCCTAAACAGTCTCTCTAACTCTCTTGTCACGAGTTCAGCCCTACGCAACTGGTCCTCGTCTTGACACGACCAGATCTCCCTTAACTTGTCCCCCAACTTCTTTACCTGGTTCAAGAGTGGTTCTTTAACGCGCTTTCTCACTCTTCCGACTGCCTCACTCTCCCCTTCCATACGCAGTCCACATCTTTCTCCAGCTCACCCTCGCACCCTCGCTCTAGCCTCCGCTACCGTCTCATCGTGGTAGTGCTCCGCGCGCATATAACCATGAGACCATATCATCACATCATAGGATATCGAGGTTTGGAAGGTCACTCTTGCCAGTACATCAGCTCTACGTTCGTGGATCAAATCCCTAGCTCGTTGTCTGCATACAATCGCCGTCAAGTCCTCGTCTATGTACGCTCGGAGAAGTACTGTCACAGTGTATCCTGTGCTTACGAATTGCTCTTCTACACGCATCACCGTGGTCGTCCTTCCCGGCATTCCCTAAGCTGCGACCTCGAAGAGAAATCTCGCGTCCTCTAGTCCCGCGTAATCGATCTCTGCCCGTCTCCTGCAGTACCTAATCAGATCGTTAGGCCTCAGACAGTCCACCCAGCTTGTAACATCTATGATGTCGTCAAGCGTCTCTCTATTGGGCGGCCCCCACCTCACACAAATGGCGTAGTATACTTCCTTGAAGCGGGGAGCTAAGCCCTCCCAGAGCGCGTAAAGTGTGTGATCCACTGCTCTCCTCAAACGATCCACGCTGCCATAGGTCTGCCCTATAACGAAGGTAGGAACTCCGMATCGCCAATCCTTTCTCGGGTAGAGGGTCGGATGTGGTGGACCGTATACCAAGCAGCTCCTACTCGTCCTCCCTCCAGCGAGTCTCGCCAATTGCTGATTAACGATCACTCTGCCCAACAACTCACTTCTCCACCAACTCCTGCTC